TGGACACCACCACAACTATCGGCGATGTGCCTCCACAGAGGGAAGATGATTCCCATCTCGGTGATGGTGGTATTACTCGGGCTTCTCGGGTGGCCTAACGATCACCACCAACACCACCATGCAGGATCATCTTTCCCCGGTTGAGGCAACCCCCTGTGCTGGTGCTGGTGCTCATGTCCAGGCCTCCTACAATCCCATCGTGGAGCACGGTGCATTCTTGGGGAGCATCTGGAACTTTCTTGGGTCTCCCGTGAGCCGTCTGGACTAGAGAGCAGAAAATCCACCCCCCATGAAAAGCGATCCGACAAGCGAAGCCGTTTAGTACATGCACCCAGGGAAGGAACCCAACAGCGCAGGGCTGTTTTGTCGACGCCCAGGGCCGTTCAGTAAACGAAAACTTAGCGGAGTCGCAGTGATATGTTCCTCCCTTGGTGACGAGACTGTTTGGGGGCCCCTGGGGGTCCCCTGGGGCTCGTCTCCGAGTGCCCGAGGGGTACTTCGGAGCCCCTCTCCGTCGGCTTAGGGGCCTATTGAGGCCATCCTTGGTCGAGAGGCCTCCTGGACGGGGTCGGGGAAGACGGGGTCGCAGGATCGCGCAGCACTGCCGATGCATCGGCGATGCATCGGCAACACGTCGTCGACGTCGGCGAGGCATCGGCGACGTCGACGTGAAGCAGAACGGGATCTGCATCGGCGATGCGGAGCGATCCTTCGACCCCATCGATGGGGAAACCACAAGGTACCGATGCCGCTACTCCCCGGACCTCTCCCGGGGTGCGTTCTGACCAGAATGTCACTGCAGAGTGTCACGGCGAATCCAGCGGTGGCGACGAGGGCCTCCAAGGCAGGGCTGAACCTAAAAGGTGTTTTTCGTCTTCGTGTTGTTTTCGTGCTCCCTCGCTTTTGTCTCGAATCCGCCGTTACTGCAGGGGCCCTGGGACACAGAAATAAATACACACAAATTCAATGATTCCCATATTTTCCCATATTGTCTTGGTTTTGTCTTCGCCCCCACTGCCCATAGTTTTCCATATTTTCCTGGGAATCGACGATTCTTTGTGTCTGTGTGATTTTTCCCCTCCTGATTTACCGCAAAACGAAGTCGAAACGAAAACGGCCCGCAAAATCTCCGACAGCACCGTCGAGGCCCAGCCCTGCTCCGAGGAGGCCCCCAAAAAAAGGAACACGAGGGAAAGGCAGCAGTGTGGGCACCTCTCCCTCCTCCGAGTCCACTCGGGCCCCATTCGGGCGTCGGCAGAACTGGGTTCAGTGGAATCTGGTTTCGTGAGGTGTACCGGGGGAGGCCCCCCCGCCCCGTTTTTCACTAATCGGAGCTGCCGCCACCCGGAAAAAAACACCAGCTGCGGCAAACCTGGTTTAGCGATTCTGGCCAATTCAAGGGCCCCGGGGCCCTACCGCTAACCGTCTCCCCTTACCTGGGGTCCTGGCTATACTACCAGCCTGGAACAGATCCCTATCCCTATGCTGGGCATCTCCTCATCACGATTCCAATCTTAGGGATTCCCTTCTTTTTTGAGGGCGCATCCCTAAGATTGTCATCGCCTTTTGGCGTGTCAATCTTAGGGATAGGGATAAGTTCGAGGCTGGTAATCCCTCCTCCGAGTCCACTCGGGCCCCATTCGGGCGCTGGCAGAACTGGGTTTCGTGGAATCTGCTTTCGTGAGGTGTACCGGGGGAGGCCCCCCCGCCCCGTTCCACGAACCGGAACTGCCGATCACCCGAAAAACACCAGCTACGGCAGGCCTGGTTTAGCGATTCTGGCCAACTCAAGGGCCCCGGGGCCCTATCGGGAGCGGCCAAGAGGGGGGTGTCCAAGAGGGGGGGGTGCAAATCATGACCGGCGGCATGTGCGCGGCCCAGGGGGGGGGGGGCCAGGGACGTAATGGAATAAGAAGAGGCGCCATGAGATCTGGGGAGATATCATGGCCCCCGCCATGATACCCACACCCCCCTATAGTCATCACCCCCCTCTCTGCCGTCCCCGACCCTACCGCTAACCGGGTCCCCTTGCCTGGGGTCCTGGCTATACCCGACCCATCTGGGAGGCCCACATGGCCGCAGAGGCGCGCCAGCCATCGAGCCCACCTCCGCCCGTGCCGCAGAGGCCTCCCGGCGGGCCACCCCGCGGCGGGTCCCGCGAGCTCGCCCGGGCGTCTGCCTCGCCGGGCCCGGCGGGCACCTGGCGCGGGCCGGCCGCCGAGCGAGGAAGGGGAAGCACGATGGGCCCGTTTTTCCACCACCACCACCAGAAGTTAGAGGGGGGGAGGAGGGTGGACGAGGAGGAGGAGGACGAAGATGAGGAAGAGGAGGAGGAGGAGGAGGAGGAGGAGGAGGAGGAGGAGGAGTACGAAGATGAGGAGGAGGAGGAGGAGGAGGAGGAGGAGGAGGACCCCCTCCCCTCCAACAGATGGTGGTGGTGGTGGTGGAAAACAGGCCCATCGAAGCATCTGGCAGGAAGGCACGGCAAGAGAAGCCGCCAGGATGGCGTGTGCTCTGGCTCGCGTCACCGCGCGAGCCGTCGGCCCCAAGCTGACTCGAGCCGCGAGATCGGCTCGGACCGGAAACGGATCGGAACGCCAACGAACCGTCCCGAATCGAACCGCAATCGGGTCACCGCGCCTGCCTCTGGCTGGCCCCAGCCGATGCTGGTGAATCGAACCGACCCGAATCGAACCAGAATCGCGGCCCCGACCGGCGAATCGGATCGCGTCAAAATACACCCCGCGAAATGCTTAAGAATTCATGGGTTAAGAAATTCATAGTCTCAGAACTTGAATAAAAAAACCCAACATTTCTATTAAATCTTAAGATTTACATTGAAACGTTAAGAATAGTCGAGACTCTGGCCAAAAACTTAAGTTTTCTTAAGCATCGCCTAAGGTGTACATCGCAGGCTCTACATCGAGCGATCTCCGGCTGCCATGGGGTCCCCAGGGACAGCCTGGAGGGTCAGTTGTCGATGGCCCCAGGGCTCCGAAACGGCCCCCAAAGGTTTGACAAACCAGCCGTCTCGATTCTGTCGTTACGACTGATGTCAGGGCGCGCCCACGCTGCCGTCGCCGAGCGGGCTGTCCGATGCTGAGCGGTCTCGCCTTTCTCGGAGACCCCTTGGGATCGTCGGCCTCCTGGAACGCCCGCGCCCCCGCTGCCGCTCCTCCTCCTGCTCCTGCTCCTCCTCTCCCCCTCCCCCTCCCCCTCCTACTCCTCCTGCTCAGCCTCCTCTTCTTCCTGCTCCTGGTCCTCCTCCTCCTCCTCGGCCTCCTCCTCCTCCTCCTCCTCCTCCCCTTCCTCCTCCTCCTCCTCCTCCTCCTCCTCCTCCCTCCTCCTCCTCCCTCCTCCTCCTCATCCTCCTCCTCCTCCTTTTCCACCCCCTTTACTCCTCTCCCACTCCTCCTCCTTCCTTCCTCCTCCTCCTCCTCCTCCTCCTCCTCCTCCTCCTCCTCCTCGGTACCGGGACAGCACGAAGCCCAATACCGAGCGTCAAGACGAGCGACGAAAACAAATAGGGCGCCCACGCGCGACCTCACGCGGGAAGCATACAGTCGAGGCGCTGACCTTAAGGAACCCGAAATAAGGAACGAGGCCCCTGTTTCCCGTAAGTTCAACCTCGATTCCCCATGGGAAACCTCAGGAAAACCCGAGGCAAACTCTGAAACAATCAAGGAACACCGAGCCCCTGCCCAACGAAGAGGGTTCCTTCTTCAGCGCCCCGACTGTAGGCGCGAATGCCGGCGCAACCGATCGATCCAGTTGTCTTCAGTCGCTCAGGCGGAACTGAGGAACGTGACGGTCGATGAGATGGTGGGGGTACTTTCGTGTGCAACGTCTGGAAAGCCTTCGTGAGAATGGCTTGGGGGTTGTGAAGCCCGAGTAGGGGGCCATGAGCTGGGTTGGCCCCGATTCGACCCGAGATTCAACTGGAGCGACCTGAACTTGCAAGAGCAAGCGCGACGGCGCTGGACTAGGCCAGCGCTCGACCACGGAGGCACCAGCGCCGATGCTGAATGTGACCTGAAGGATCTGCATCCCAAGTTAACGGTGGGGGTGGATGATGGGGAGGAAAAGGATGGAAAGAGAAGAAGGAGCAGGACGACGACGACGACGACGACGTAGACCAATGTAAACCCAAGGGCCATCATCGATGGAGGTGGACGGGGAGGAGGAGGAAAACGAGTGTAAACCCAAGACCAATCAACGATGTTGGAATACACCGTCCCTCAAAGCTCCCTTTTTGTCACAGGCCCCTACCGGTCCAGTTCCATCAAGATTCAGAAAGCTGCCTCGTTGGAAGACAACCGTTTGATAATCCGGAGACATGCCAAAACATTTTTCTCGGGATCCCAAACGCCATGGATCAACCTGACTGTTGCGTCTTGGCGACCCTGGATCGTGCCAGCTTGCCTTTTTTTTTTTTTCTGGATTCCAACACCGTCAATCAAGGCAACTGTTGCACCAACAAAAATCCTGCACCCGTCCAAAACACCATTCCTGGTACGCTGACCGTGGGAATCCGTGAAACTCTTGCAGATGTTATGAACGAGTGTGCGCGACACTAAGGCAAGAGCCACATGTTGAAAACGAACCGTCCTCAACCCGTGAAGCTCTTGCAAAGTTTGACATAGAATTTGCGCGGCGCTAAGGCGACAACCACATGTTGAAAATGGGTTATCCTTAATCCGTGAAGCTCTTGCAAAGTTTGAAAACGAATGTGCGCGGTGCTAAGGCGAGAGCTACGTTTTGACAACGACCCGCCTCCATCTGTGAATGCGTTGCCAAATTTTAAATTTCAGAATATGAATGATGTGGAAGTCTCAGGCGAAATGCCCGGCCCGCTCTAAAAACAGGTCTCGGGGTGCGACAAGGAGAAAATATGTATAAGGAAAAGGAATGGAGATGAACGGGGGGAAAAAAAATGGAACGAGGGGGCGAAGGGAGACACCGAATGGTCGAGGATCAAAGGTGGGCTGTGTTTTTTTTTTTCCCGCGCCCGATGCAAGCGCAGGCCGCCCAGACCGCAACGGCGCGTGCCACGATTTTGATCGCATCGAAGACTCGGCCACCCCGCGCGGGGTAATGAGAGGAAGCGACAGCACCATAGATGATATCAATGATCGTCATAGTGTCTAGAGGCGGTGTCTGTGGCGATGTCAATGACGACATCAAGGATCTATGGTGGACTGTGGGGGTAGAGGATGAAAAAGCAGAAAGATATGAGTGAGAGAGTGGAGGAGCGGGAAAAGAACCTCTGGGGGAGCGGTCGGGGATCTGAAAGATGCGGGCGAGGGTGGACGACGGAAAGGGAGGAGGAACAAAAGACGGAGGAGAGGGATAATAAGTGAGGATGCGCGTACGTACCCGCCACCGTGCCGCTGGGCACGGAGTGGGCGGTCCTCGGGCCCTTTGCCGCATCCTCGAAGCCTCTGCCCTCGCTCTTCAGGGGGTCTCTTAGGGGCCCGGACCCCAAGTTCCCAAATCTCCTCCCAGGGGGCGCGTTCGGAGCCCTGGGGGCTTGGGAACGTTTCCCGTTCACGGTGTCGACGGGCTGGCGCCAGGCTGCTGGCTGGAGCGGGATCCCGAGAAGGAGGCCGAGGCCTTCGGGGGGCTTCAAATGTGGCTGGCGGCTGGCTGAGCGGGGTCGGCGCCTGCGGCCTCGGCCGCCGCGTCCTCAACGTCGTCGCGCCCCGCGTGCAGCTGGGCCTCCAGCTCGGCGCCCTGCACGACCTTGATGCTTGGCTCCTGCGGCGCCCCCCAGCCGTCGCCTGAGGGCCCGCGAGCCCGCTGCTCCTGCTCGCCTTCCGCCGCCTGCCCGCCGCCGCCGCCTCGAGCGCAGGCGCCACGCCGCGGCCCCGCCACGACCTCGGCAAGCGCCGAAGCCGTGGCCCTTGCGAACCCCGCGGCAGGCACGCCCGCCGCATGCCATGCGGCATTACGCCGGTAGCGCCTGATGCCGCTGACGCGCACGCCAGCCACCGCCGCCTGGAGCGCCGGCCGCGCGGCCTGCTCGCGATCCTGCCACGATCCCGGGGCGGCAGGCCCGCGAGAGCCCGCGCTGCGCCGAAGCCCCGCCTCGAGGGCCAGCTGTCGCCGCCGTCTGGCCGTGCGCCGCGCCGCCGAGGCCCCGAGCAGCTCCGTCTCCACGATTCGCATGGGCCGCCTCCCGGGTGGGCAGCCCCCCGTCGCCATCACCCAAGCGCCCGCGCCGCGCGCGCCCGAGCCAGCTTGAGCCAAAATGGCTACGGAAAAGAGGCAGCAGGAGGCCCCCAAGAGGCCCCCAAGAGGCCCCCAAGAGGCCCCCCAGAGAGGCCTCCAGGAGGTCCTCCCGAGGCCCCAACCCGACCCCAGGAGGCTCCGGAAGGCGCTCCGTAGAGACCCCAAGAAGCATCCCTGAGAACTCGGACCCACAACTCTGGTACGATGGGGGATTGGGCCAAAGGATATGTTTATACGTGTATAAATACATGTATCTATATATGTATATATATACATACATACATACATAGAACAGACCAACAAACGCACGAACACACCAACCAATAAACAAACAGGCGTACGCACGTACGGTCGTACGTACATACATACAAACATACAAACGTACATACAAAGATGCATGCATATATACACGCATACACACATACGTACACACCACCATACACACATACATACAATCATACATCCATACATACATACATGCATGCATGCATGCATACATGCATACATGCATGCATGCATACATACACACATATACACATACCTCACACACATACGTCCATACATACATACATGCAAACATACATACACATATGCAGACATACAGATATACCTACATACATGCATGTATACATACATACGTACATACATACATACGTACGTACGTACGTACATGCATGCATGCATGCATGCATGCATACACCTATACCAACATCTGTACATGCAAACATGCACGTATCCATACATACGCGCACACAAATACATGCGTGCATGCATCCATACAAGTATACATACGTACATGCATGCATGCATACATGCATATATGCACGCGCATGCATACAGCAATTCACACATATATACAGACATACATGCATACAGGCATGCAAACGTGCATGCACGCTTGCATACACACATATATATATACATACATGCATGCATGCATCCATACACATATACATACACATGCATACAAGCACACGCACACATACATACATATGTACATGCATACACACATGCATGCATACATGCATGCATCTATACATACCTACCTATCTACCTACATACATACATACACACATACACACATACATACATACATACATACGGACATACATGCATGCATGCATGCATACATACATGCATACATGCATACATGCATACATGCATACATACATACATACATACATACACACATACATACATACACTCATACACATATATACAAACTTACATACATACATGCATACATACATGCATGCATTCATACATCCATGCATGCATGCATGCATACATACACACATACATACATACAACGAGACATACGTACATACATAATTACATGCATACTACAGACAGGCAGACAGACAGACAGACAGACAGACAGACACACGCCTGTCTAAACACATAGAAGCTTACAAAATACAGAGAAAGGTAGAGAGACATGGAGAGACACAGAGAGAGACAGAGAGAGAGAGATGAGGTATGAACCCACACAGTATATCTACCAACGCAAAACTATAGCACACAAGGATGTAGATCTATACACATACGATTATATCTGTAAGTCCAGGAGCGCATATGGAAAAGAGGGAGGAAGGAGGGAGAGAGACAGAGAGAGACGAGGACAGGACATACAGATAGCAGAAAAGGGGGGCGTGACCGAGGAAGAAGGGACGGAGGGCGGGAGGGCGGGAGGGGGAGATACGGGATGAGGAGACAGAAAGACCTCCGGTACAGACAATGACGGCATCCGCACAGCAGACTGCAGGATACGCTATCAAACAAGGTTTGAAACGTCGAGCATTGGACCCGAGTCGGGAACGATCACAATGTGGCACCACCTCAGAAGTAGGCGAACTGGGCTCTCAGAACGCAACGCCCGTCGGAGGCTTCCCGAATCATGGGGCAAGAGCAGATGGGGCAGCAAGAGCGTACCACATCGCAGATGGACCGGCGACGTCGGGGCAGAGGAGCCCTGAACCCGGATCGTGCCGAATCGCCAATGCACTGGCCGTGCTGCGGCGCGGTCCTTCGACCCCACCTGCCCTGGCCTCGGGGGGGAGGCCGGAGCATCGCTCAACCGACCCCCCTCCCCAACGGTGCGGCCTGGGCCCCACTGTGGCCGATTGAACCCCCTTGGATGGGGATGATATGGGCCGTCCACCTTCGGGCCTCGAGGGGTGAATCCCCAACAGCTGGGGTGGTCATTTGGTTGGGGGGTCTCGAAGGGGGATGATGATGGGGATGGTCGGGAGCGGCCAAGAGGGGGGTGTCCAAAAGGGGGGGGGTGCAAATCATGACCGGCGGCACGTGCGCGGCCCAGCGGGGGGGCCAGGGACGACATGAAATAAGAAGAGGCGCCATGAAAGCTGGGGAAATATCATGGCCCCCGCCATGATATCCACACCCCCCCTAGTCATCACCCCCCTCTTTGCCGCCCCCGAGAT